CTCGTCCTCCTCCCCCTCCTCCTCCTCCTCCTCCTCCTCCTCCTCCTCCTTGCCCCAGATTCCCACATCGACGGCGTTGTTCGTTGCCCCTATTTTCTCTTCAAGAATCTTCCGACCCCGCCGAGGTCACCAAGCGCGCGGGCTCCTTTACCCTAACCCTTGTCCCCGAGGCCTCCCACGCCTGGTAAGACAGACGTTCTCCCCCTGTCCTGAAGCTGGCGATCTGTCGCCCGCATCAGCAACGACCGCCTCACTCAAGATTATCTGGGGTTGGCGGCAGAGGCGGCAGCCTTTAAGATAATGCATGGACATTCCAGCACATAGCATACAAACTGACTGCAAGCTGCATGAAAAAGCTGCGCATAACTGCAAAATCTGACAAACAGCAAGGACGCTCCTGTGGATGTTATCGGATCGGCGCTGGAAGCCCCTCCCCGTCGCGCGGAGCGCGGCAAGGAGGCCCATCGCCGACCAGAGGACTCTGGGCGGACCTTAGCGAGTTTGTGTGAATGCAGCTTTTTCTATTCAGAGGAGGACCAGCCCTTGGGGGGAACACATCGCCGTGGAACCAGCTATCCATCGCCGGTAGATCGGCGATAGGCCTTTCATGAGAACGTCGGGCCCTCATCGGGGATGGATGCCCGATTGGGGGCCGATGCGTCCCCCCTCTGAGCCTATTCCCCCCGAGCGTTGCTCCTGAGCCTGGGTCTGTACTCCCTTAAATTAAGATGCCCCGCCACGTTCTCGTCCTCGTCCTCGTCCCCTTTTCGTTCCTCAGGCTCTTCCCTCTCCCCCTCGGAGCAAGGCGACGTGAGACAGTGCAATTTCAAAATCGGTCCCCCGACCCCTCTCAGGGTGCAAACGGCACCAGCTTTAGGTCGGGCGCGTCCTTCTACGGGCGGATTTGGGCGAAAATATCAAAAGAGTCAAACATAATTTAAAACAAAGGACAAACAATAATAGACAATTCGTCCACATGCTACTTGTTGACGTTTTTGAACGTTCCTCCTGTAGAGGGACGCGCCTGACTTAACACCAGATTTCCGAGCTGCGTCCAGCCGTGGCGGCGAGGGGCAGGGGACCCCCCCCGAATGCCAGCCAGCAGCGCCTCAGCTGGCTCTCCTCGGACCCCCTCGGGATCTTTGCCCTGCTCGACAGGGCTGGATCTAAACGCTGTTTTTCGGTTGTGGTTTCGTTTTGTTGTTCGTTTTGCTCTACCTGTTTTCCTGTACCTCCTCCCAAAACGACAAACAAACACAGCCGAACTCCAGCAACACAGTGTTTAGGTACAGCATTGCTGCTCGACATCCGACTGTGCGACTAAAGAAGAGATTTACGCCATGGTAAGGGGAGGGATGGGGTAGGACGTCAGATATGTCGCGAGCGCACCTAGCTTGTCTGACCCCCTCTCCCCCTTCCCATCACTCCTCGTCCCCAGGTCGAGAGGTGGATACGCCGTCGCGGTGGACTCGTCCTCTTCTCCCCTCCGCCCGCCCACAGCGAACAAGAGGCTGCAAAGAGGTCGAGCCTGATTGAAACCAGGGGTTGAGATTAGGCGCACGCGCTCGAGGAGAACCCGAGGGAAGCGAGGGAGAGAATGAGAGAGAGAACAGAGAAGAGGACAGAAGAAGAGAAAACACAGAAACTGCCCGACCCAGCTCCTAATGCGGCTTTTGGCCACTCCCCCCCTCTCCCACGCTTCGCGGTTCGGCCCCGATCCCTCCTTGTCCTCCGCTTCTCCCCTGGGGGGGCGGCGCGAGATCGCGAATTTGGTCGCGCTTCGCGCTTCGCGCAGCGCAGAGCGCGAAATTAGGCGCCCTTCCCTCTCCCCCCCACCCAGGCGAGCCCAGAATCGAATCGACAAATCGGATCGGCGATCGAAATGAATCGGATCGGCGGAAATCGGCAGCCACGTCGGGAGAAGTCGAACCGGCAGAAAAATCGTCAGGCTAGTAGGCCTCCGTGGATGACACGGACTCCAGATCGGCATCCGAGGTCGGACCTTATCGGAATCGGATGCCATCGAAATCGAATCGAATTGGAGGAATCGAAATGAGCCCTTCACCCGGAAGAGGAGGAGGAGGAGCCTCCTCAGCACCTCCTCGCCCCCGGGACGAGGAGGCGGACGCGCCGCCGCAGTGGCCCCGCCCGCCCCGAGCCCGGGTCCTGCGCGGGCCTCGCACGCAGCGCCCGCGCGCCGCCGCACGCCGAGGCCAGGAGAGGGAGGCCCCAGGGACGCGAGGGCATGCATCAACGGCGGCCTCTCGGTGTGTGGTACTCTCGACGATCCTCAGCACGCGTTCTTCAAAGGCCTCCTGCATGGGGTCCAAGTAGATGGGGTCGGAGGATCGCGCCGCATCGCCGGTGCATCGGCGATGCAACGTCAACATCGGCGATGCATCGGCGACGTCGGCGTGGAGAAAATCGGGCTGCACATCGAGCCGCACCGCCGATGCATCGACGATGCGGCGCGATCCTCCGACCCCATCTACTCCGACCCCATCTAGGAGGCCTGGAGTCTCGGCGCTCCAAATCGGCGGCGAGCGAGAGGGGAAGCGAGAAGGAGAAAGCCTGCTCAGAAGGCGGCGAGAAGGCGGCGGGGCTTCTCAGAAGCCCTCGCGCCTTCTGAGAGGTCTGTGGTGTCTTCCGGGAAGGCTTAGAAAACTTCTCAGGGGCCGGGAGACTTCGGAGCCTTCTGAGAAGGCCCGCCCCCTTCTCATTCCCCCCCCTCGGCTTGCCGCCGACCAAATCTCCGACGATGTGTTCTTTCCCATCAGTTGTTTTTTTCGACTTCGGTAAGCGGGGGTCGTCATCGGGCCCGGGGGCCACCAAAAAATGATCCGGGGCGAACGGTTGGCCACGGGGAGGGGGTCGGTCGGGCCATATCTGGTGCCGCGCACTGGAAGCATCACATCGTCGGCTGTCTGGAGCCAGCGTGTGCGTGTCGGCCGAAGCCCTTCAATGCGACGCAGGCGGTGTGATCAGGGCCGACACCAGCTGCGTGCTGTCGATGGAGCTGCGCGGCGTGGAACACACGCAGGGCTAACACGTGCCCTGAGGATGATCGGCGCTCGCAAGGAGAGCAAAGAGCAGCGGCACTGGCACAGGCTTTCTCAGGCCCGCGCGGATCTCTTGTGCTGGCGCTGGACCCTTCTCCCCGCCGCCAGGGTGGCAGGGAGCGGGGTCGAACGCCGACCCAAGAAGTCCGCACACGCCTTCGACAATTTCTGTTTGTGCTGTGCTTTGTTCTTCTCACTTGGGGGGCACCAGCTGTCCGCTTGCTGTGCACACGGGTCGTATCCTCGACCCGCGACTGACCTGGCCAGGGTCGGTGCGTTCTGGTGGCCAGGCGCATCCTCAGCCTAGGATCAGGTCGGGCATGTCCTCCTACGGGCGGATTTTGAAAGGAAAAGGAGAACTAGTCAAAACACCTTCAAAAACAGTCAGAAGTAGTAAAACATCGGTCCCAGGCTTATTTTGAACTGCTTTTGACTATTCGTCCTGTCGAGGGACATGCCTGACTTAAGACTAGGACTGACCTGGTCAGGGTCGGTGCCGTCTTGTGGGCGGCTGGCCCCCCCCCCGAAGCATGGCATATGGAGGCGGAAGAACATGACGCCGCGCGGAAACGCGGCCTGAGGAAGCGCGGGTACGGAGCCAGACGGAGAATGACAGTAATCATGGCAATGACGACCTGGCAGGGGAAGCAGAACCTCAAAACGATGATGACGACGACGACGACCATTCTGACTATGATGATGACGATGAAGACGATTCAAATTACGAGGGCGATGATGGAGAGAGCGCATTTCGCGGGCGCTTGGTTGCGAGACTGTCCCCGACACGTCGAAACCAGCCCCTGACCAACAGCGCAAACACCCAGCGAACTAGACCTCATTCCCCTTCAGATCCCCCCCCTCCCCACACCCCCCGCCCCCCAGCCCCTCGCGCAACGGGGGTGTTTAATCCCACTTCCTTGCCGAAGGCCGTCATCGTCGTCGTCGTCTGGCGGCACACAGTCGCACTCGTCTTCGTCCCGCCCCTGGTCTGCAGCGGGCTCCGCCTCGCGGAACCACTCGGGGGTCCCAAGGTGCCCCCAGCCTGTCGCTCCATTTTGGAGCCCCTGGGGCCCTCTGGGCCTCGTGAGGGGTGCGCTGGAGGCCGTGGGGGCCTCCTCCGTAATCCTGGGGGGTACCTTGGGCCAGGGGCACTTCTACCAACACCCGAACCGCGGGCTGGGCGCCAACCCTGCACCGGCTGAGCGCGACCATGCGCAGCGAGGCCGGTGCCTCCTGTGGCCCCGGCCTGCGGCGGGCTCCGTGTCAGGGAGCAGCAGGCCAGGCGCTGACCTCGCCTCGGCCCCGCGCGCCGCTGTGCCGTGCAGCAAGGGCCTCCTCGTCCTCCAACCCCGGCCTGCAGTGGACGCCGCTTCGGGGAGCACTGGCGCACTCTGCGTGGGGCTGCCATGCTGTGTACTCCTGTCCTCCTCCTTGGTTGGTCGGTTGATTGGCCTGCTGCTCACTCGTCTGCGCCTGTGGGCGTGCCGCATGGCTGCGCCGCCGCCATTTCGGTGTACACCTCGCACGTTTCGTGGCAGAAGGAGCTCCATTAAAGGCCCAAGTGGCATTGCTCACATGGCGGCGCCGCTTAAATCTCGCCCCCTTTCCCCCCCCCCGTTTCGTGGCCCAATGGCAGTGTCCGCATGGCGGCACCGTCCCCATACCGGCGCTTCCCTCATACGTTTCGTGGCCCGACAGGGAGCTTCACCAGAGGCCCCAGTGGCGGCGCGTGTCGTCGCCCCAGAAAGAGCTCCACCCACGGTCTCAATGGGCGCGACTGGCGGCGCCGCTCCCGTTTCGGCATGACCCTCGCACGTTTCGCGGCCCTTTAGGGAATCCCACACGCGGTTTCAGTGGGCGCGACCGCATGGCGGCGCCGCCCCCACTTCGGCACACTCCTCACGCCTTTCGTGGCCCTGAGGATTGTGCACCGAACGACTGGGTGGGCGCGACCGCATGGCGGCGCCGCCCCAATTTGGCCCCGTTTCGTGGCCCCATACAGTCGGGACTAATTGGAGAGAACACGCGAAAGGACACGTGACCCTTCCGAGGGCCACATCGCCATAGGCATGCAGAAGGCATGGGTCGCTAAACACATGACACACGGGAACCTTTTCGACCTGGCAAGGTCGACCTACTAGTCAACCTCCGCCTCGATATCCTCCCACCCCTCGCACGCCTCGTGATCCCACGCAGAGCTCCACACACGGCCTCCGCGTACGCGACCCTGTGGCGGCGCCGCGCCCACCTCGGCACACCCCATCACACGTCGCGCACCACTCAGGGCGATGCATGCTGCGGCCCCCGTGCGAGCGACCGCACGGCAGCGCCGCCCCCACGTCGGCACACCCTCGCACGTTTCGTGGCGCTCCATCCAATGACCCACGGGGCGCGACCACATGGCGGCGCCGCCCCCGCCCCGCAGGGAGCTCCACCTGAAGGCCCACCGGGCGCGACCGCATGGCGGCGTCGCGCCCATCTCGGCACGCCTCTCCACCGTGTCGTGGCCCCACAAGGAGCTCTACCTGCGGTCTCGGTGGGCGCGACCGCATGGTGGTGTCGTCCCCACGTTGGCTCACCCCTCGCACATTTCTGGGCCCCATGCTCCACATACGGTCTGAGTGGGCGCAACCGCGTGGCGGCGCCGCCCCCATTTCGGCACGCCTTTCACGCGTCTCGCGTCTCGCAGGGTGCTTCAGCTACCCTCGAAATGAAGGCGACCGCATAGCATCACCGCGCGCGTTCTGGCACACCTCTCGCGCGCTTCGCGCCCATCAGGGAGCCCAACGATGGCCCCAGCGGGGGCGACCGCATGACACAACCGCGCTCATTTCGGCACATCCTCACATGTTTCGCGCCCCTTAGGACACCCCAAGTGCGCTCTCAGTGTGCACGACCGCATAGCCATTTCGGCACGCCCCTTCCACATCTGCGTGTATGGCCCTTGCGACAACAGCGCTTCAAGATGGCCCCCAGAGCCCCCGAGCTTGTCCAGACCGGCCCGCAAATGGACCGGCCCAAACCGTACGATGCCGCCAAATCGCCATCCTGGCCCGTCAATTTCCTAAGATGGCCCAGATACGCCCTCAAGATGGGCACCAAATGCATCAATATAGCACCGATACGCCTCGATGTTGTCGACGGTGGCCCCAAGGGGCTCTATGATAGCCCACAAGCTGTTCCGACACACCCACAAGATGGCTCGACCTGGGGTGTCGGGGGCAGAAGGAGCGGCCTTTCTGATGATTGATCTGCCAGGAGTCTGGACAGGAGCGTGTCGGGTGCGCCGAACAGGGGGTCCAGGCAGCGGGGGGGTCAGCGCACCTCGGCCCGAGGCTCGTGCGCGGACGAGCGTGTGCCCAGGGGCGCCCTGGAGGCAGAACAGGGGGCCAGGAGGTCGGGAGGGTCTGGAGATTTCATGGTCGCGGCCCTGATTTGCCCCCTCCCAGTGCTCACACCCCTGCTTGCGATGGACTGCAACTGCGTTCGTGCATCTGTGATTCTTACTTCGCCTACGCGACTGCCAGGGATGCGCGGTCGCAGTCAGTCAGTCCTCACTTCTTGCGTCGGTGGCTAGGCAGAGATCGTCTGCGCTGGCGGAAGAAGTTAAGTAAACGGGGCACCTCTGTATTGAATTGGCCAGCATGCATGCAAGAGGAGGAGGAGGAGGAGGAAGAGGAGAAGGAGGAGGAGGAGGAGGAGGAGGGGAGGGACGGAGCGGGCGGCGCCGCAGGGGGGGGGGGGGGGGGAAAGAGGGCCAGAGGGCCACTCAAAGGGGACGGATCACTCCCTGGGTGTGCTGGCGCGGCCAACCCCACGGCAATCAGTCCTCACACCTGTTTTCGACGCCCCTGGGTGTGGAGCGAGGGCGACGAGCACGGTGCTAAAAGGGGAAGCGCCAGAGCGGCCGCGAGGCGGGGCGAGGGGAGGAGCGGAGCGAGGAGAGACGCCTCTGGAGCCCTTGCCAGGCTCCTCCTCCTCCTCCTCCTCCCTCCTCCTCCTCCTCCTCCTCCTCTTGGCTTCGGTGCGTGGTGTTCGTTTCCCCGTCTGGGGTCTTGGTCCGATTGGGCCTCTGGTTGAACTAAACGTTCTAAACGTCCTCTCCTCCTCCTCCTCCTCTCTTCCTCCTCCTCCTACTCCTCCTCCTCCTCCTCCTCCTCCTCCTCCTCCTCTCCTCCTCCTCCTCCT